TGGCCTACAGTTGGCTCCGGGCATTCAAAATGTGGCCCGGGAATGGAGTTCTGGGAACTCGAAGAGCACGAAGTGGCCTACAGTTGGCTCCGGGCATCCAAAATGTGGCCCGGGAATGGAGTTCTGGGGACTCGAAGACCACGAAGTGGCCTACAGTTGGCTCCGGGCATTCAAAATGTGGCCCGGGAATGGAGTTCTGGGAAGTCGAAGAGCACGAAGTGGCCTACAGTTGGCTCCGGGCATTCAGAATGTGGCCCGGGAATGGAGTTCTGGGAGGTCGAAGAGCACGAAGTGTGTGACTGTTGGCTTAAAACGACTTCTGCGGCACCCTGTCCGGCACCCGCCCAAACCCCCCTGTGGAGTCATCTGCTGCTCTCTTTTGACACCATTAGAAACCTATCAGTCTTCGCTGTTAGGTAATAATCCCACCGACGGTTTTGGCCGCGTTGTCGGCCCGTGGAGCACCGGGTCGACTCGCTGAAGGCGTTTCCCCATTGCTCTTCGTCACGCTTCACTTTGCCCGTGCCGTGTGCGGGCCGGGACACAGAGGACGCTGGCCGCGGCCCCTGCAAGCGCCCCATCCTTTGAAGTCCAGCAATGCGCAGTGGCTTCCATTTCGTCGCCGTCCGGAGCGATCACCACTTTTGACCCCCATACTTATGGGCGTGTAGCCCGCGCGGTCGGCCGATGCATGCTCACCCACGGTTTTGGCCGCATTGCCGGCCCGCGACGGACAGGGTCGACCGGCTGAAGGCACCGCCTTTCCGTCTCAGCTAGCTTAGGGTGGCTCTGGCCACAGTTTGTGCCTCCTGGGAGCAGAGGCACCACACCGCTATGGTTCCCGCGGCCCCCGTGGGCGCTCTCGCCTGCGGTTGGCTGGAATAACCCCACCCAGGCTTTGCTCGTGAGTGCGGGCCGTGATGCAGAGGCACTGGCTGAAGGCCCTACCTTTTGCTTCACCTGTCAGTTCGTGACGTATGCCTACTGGCCTGACCCCCATCGGTGGCTTGGTGAGTGGCCGGCGTTCGCGGTGACGTACACGCGCTGGGTGCCGCGTGAGTGGATCCGCCACGCTTCCTCCACGGTTGCGCTCTTTTTCTTCGCTCGCGCCTCCCTGTCTCCCCCCTTTCCGCTTGCCGGTCGGTGCTCCACCTGCGGGTCCGGCATGGTTTCCACTTGCCCAGTTGTGGCCGCCCTTTTCTGCTGGCACACGCTCAGCGGCTTTTGCTTGGGTCTGCGTGCCCTCGGCAGGGCTTCGGTTCGGCCCCACCTGCGGGTTGGCTTGTGCTCGATGGTTGCCCAATTGTGGCCGCCTCTCTTTCTAATTTGTTTGCAGGTGCACTTTGCGCGGTCTCGCGCCAATTATCTGTTGCTGTGCCCCGGCCTCGGTCATGCCGCCCTCTGGACTTCTCCATGCGGGCCGCGAATCAAAAAGTAACCCCGCCAGTTCTTTCTGTCGCTGGGTGCCCGTCACGCGTCCGTAGCGGCCCCCCCGCCTTCCTCTTTGCCTCGCTTCCGTGTGTCTCGGCCGGAGTTTGGCGCCGGCAGGGCGACTTCCCCGCGCTGCTACAGTGCGCATGGCTAGCCGCACAGCTGTTGCTGCCGCTCGCTGCGTCGCGTGGTGCGACTTCTCCACGCTGTACGCAGTTACCGCGGCACGTCGCGGCGTGGCGTCTCCACCCGTCGGGACGTCGACATCGGTTTGCTGTGCTCAATCAGGGTCATCCTACCCCTTGCACCACCTCTAATGAGGGTCAGTTTGTCCCTCGCACGTGCACTCGCCTTTGCGGCTTACGCGCTGCTTTGGCCAATTGTCTACGGCCTGTGCCCCGGCCGTTTATCCCGCTTCTTGGCGCCTGTCCTGGGGCCGCCCTACCAGTTCTCCCGGGAGAAGCCGGCGAAGAAGCTGGAGGCAGTCCCGCTTGCGACCCGCTGGGGGCGCTCAGCGACGCCAGGCGCTTCAGCGAGGGACCGCCAGAGCGACGCCAGCCGCGAGGGGTGGCCAGTGCCAGCCCACCGCCCGCGTCGGCTCAGGACCTCCCGCAGCGCCCTCTCTCACCAGCGCACGAACCTGCGGACAGCAGCGCCCCAGCGGGAGAATCGGACAGTCGCCCGTCCTCCCCACCGGGGCGGCGCGGCCGTCGCCCGCAGACAGGCAGCTCCAGCGCGCCTGCACCAGCCCCCCAGGCCAATCCCCTCCCCGCCAGCGCAAAGCCTCCGCTCGCCAACCCACGCCAGTGGGGCCCCAAGCGGGCGTTCGACGGGCTCCTCGACCCCGTCGGGGGGGGTCCCATGTACAAGGAGCGGCTGGCCAACGTCGCTCTCGACAAGCACGCGGAGCCACCCGCTGTCAAGATCTCCGGGCTCCAAAAAAACCCTTGGGGGGTATTCAGCAGCGTTTGGCACGCCTGCGCTCGGAGACACCCCGCTCCTAACGGCCCGGAGAGTAACCCCGCCCTTAATTCCGAGAGCACGTGCCGCGCTTTCCTCGACGCCTGGAAGCGTTGTGGGTACGACGCATACGAGATGAATCGCAAGCACGAGCTGCAGATCAATTGGAGCCGTGAGCGCGACAAGTGGTCGGGGCAGCAGGGCACCAGCTCCCAGCAGCACAGGGGGCACTCCCCGGGTCCAACCCCCAGCAGGGTACCAGCTCACAGCAGGGTACCAACTCCCAGCAGCACAGCGCACTCCACCAGCTCCCGACAACCCTGGGTTTGGGCCGCATGGTCATGGGGGCAGGGCTGGGACGCCGAGGGCTGGCAGACAGCGGGCAAGCGTGGTGGGGAAGATAGCGGCGATGGGCGGGGAGACAAGCGCTCCCGCACGTGGCTATAGGGCCCCTCCCTCCCGCCGTGCCCCAGCGCCCCCCCCTTCTTTCCGACCTCGAGTCCCGCCCTGGACTCGTTGATTGCCCCGTGCCTACTCGCGCCGCCCCGCCACTCCCGACCGGGCGCCGACCTGGCGCCCCAGCCAACTGGCTACCCCCCCCTTCTCTCGCTGCCCTGGCCCCGACCTGACGGACTCACCGGGCCCGCTTGACCTCATCGGTTCGGGTTTCGCTGTCACTCCTGACCGTAAATTGGGGCCCGTTAGACCAATGGTTTCGGTGTCTGTCCTCTACCGCCCGACGCGTCACTTTCTTCCCTGGCTCGACGTCCGACTGGTGGCTGCTCTGGGCTCGGCGTGGACCTCCGACTCGGGTCCTCGCTCGCCCTGGCCAGCCTGAACCGGCGCCCACTCGACGCCCCAGTGGGCGGCCGACCGCCACTCTCTCTGCAGACGTACTGCATGACCTTGACCCAAGGGGTCCGCCTGTGCTTGCCACCGGCTCTCAAAGTAAAATGGGGCCCGTTAGGCCTTCCGGGAACGTGCTCTGCTATTATCGCTAACCGTGCATTGGGGCTCGTTAGGCCAGTTGTTTCAGAACGTCACTCACATCGTGTGTTGGGGCCACCCGCCCTCCCTGGCTCGACCTCCGACATGTGTTTGACAGATACTTGGCGTTGGGCACCGAGACCTGCCCTCGCCCATGCCTCCCTGGACCTGTCGCTCGCAGCACCAGCTGCAACTGCAGCCCGACTTGCAGGCTGTGCTCCCTCTCGGGGACCACCCCCTGCCCAGCCACCGTCGCTCCGTCCCTCTGGGAACGGGCCCCGGGTCTGCTGACTGTGATGACTCGTGGGACACTACGTGGCGGTGGCCCACTTGTCGCTCCTTCGTTTCACTCCTGGCGTGCCACTGCATGCCCGCGGTGGCCGCCTGCCGTGCAGGATGAGCTCCGTCCCTGGCGCCTCTCCTGCCCAGCCCCCACCGCTCCCCGTCCTTGGGGCTTGAGCTGTGGGTCTCGCTGGCAATGCTGACTTGTGGGCGGCTGCTGGGGCAGCAGTTCTTCTGTCCAATACCGGCCTTCGGCCTGCTGTAGCTGTTTTCACCCCTGGGGCGCGTGTCCGCGCATCAGGCGGCCCTCAGGGTCGGGGCGCCCCCCCCCCTGCGGCGCCTGGCTCCGGCCCCCTGCCGGCTGGCGGCGGTGTTGTCCCCGCTCGGCCTCTTCATTCCGCGCATCTCGCGGTTCTTCTCGGGCCCTGTCGGGTGGTGGTGTCGTCCCCCCACTGCTGCGGCTCCAGCCTTTCCGCTCAAATCGCGGTATTCCCGGGCGAGCCGCCCTGGCTTCGGCTGGTCGAACACTCTGGGCGCTCGCATTCGCACAGTTGCGTGGTGACCCGCGCCATTTTGGCTTGCGTCGCGGCTTTGCCGCTTCCCCGCGCTCGGCACTCGTGCGCGCTGCTGCCAGGGGTCCCTCGGCTTCCGCCACCCTGGGAGTTGCAGCCTGCCAACGCTTCGCCTCTGGCAACAATTCGGTGGTCGACGGTCCTTTGGACCACCCTGGTCTTCGCGCTTCGCGCCGTCCGGGGCCCCGCCTTTGCATTTTTCTTCACGACTCCGACCGACGTCTCGTTGGCTTTGGGCTCTCAGGCGCTCTCCCAGGTGCTCGTGGAGTCATCTCCCAGTGATTTTGGCTTCCTCGCCGAGGCCGTTTTGGACGCTCCAACGCGTCGGGGAACCCCCTGTCGAGGTCCAGGGAAGGGGAGGGGGAGGGGTAAGCCCCTCCCCGGAGGGGAAGAAGGAGGGGCAAAAGAGGAAACACTCTAGACCATCTACGCCCAAAGGGCTGGTGGTACTAAGGCCCCCAGGAGGCAGACAATTGCCAACAGCTCTCCGTTTTGTTTGTTTCACGGCGCGCGTGCGTCTAGAGGTTTCAGCGCACTAGTACTGACCGTAACTTCGAGGTGGATCCAGCTTGGGACACGAGCGGGCCACCCCTGGAGGTTCCTCGGCTCGCGATCTTCGAGCCTCGGCTGGAGCGGGGGTGGCAGAGGGGCCAGAGCACGAGGAGGATCCGGCGGCCACAGGCACCAGGACAGGCCCGGCAAGTGCAGCCTCTGCTTCGATCCTCGACCCCCCTCAACCCTCCTCGAATGTCGACCCAGCTGCCCCAGGCACCAGTACAAGTTCGGCAAGTGCACCCATTGCCAGGCCGCGGAGCCCGCCAGGCCCAAGCCCCAGGGCGCCGCGAAGCTGGCCGCCTCAGGCCCCGCGGGGGCCGCGGCTCGGAACGGCCGCGGCCGGCAGGGGTCGCCGGCCCCGAGCGCGGGCGGGGCCCCACCGGCGTCGCCGAAGAGCCGCGGCAGCAGCATCTGCAGCGAGGCTGAGGCCGCTGCTCCAGGCGGTCCCACTGGCGATGCCGCGGCGAAGCATGCCGACAGGGCCGACAGGGTGCAGATGGAGTGCCCGACGTGCGGCTACAAATGCACGCCCCAGTGGCTGAACGACTCGGCGCACTGCTTGAAGTGCCAGGCCGTGCTGCGCCGGCGCGAGGCGGGCTCGAAGGGCCCCGGCGTGGCGGTGCACGCGGAGCGGAGGCAGGTGGGCGAGGCCAGCACCCACAAGGCCGCCGCCTCGGACTCGCGGGAAGCGGAGGGCGGCCCCTGCTCCAAGTCGCCCACCGGCGTGCACCAGTATAGGCTCCCGGGGAGCGGAGCAGATACCGGTACCGATGCCGCCCCTCCCCAGACCTCTCGAGAAGTGCGTTCTGGCCAGAATTTCGATGCGATTCCAGCAGGGCGACGAGGAATGCGCAGCGGTATCCCCGACTAGACGCAAGAGTGACCTTTCGCCAGAGTGACCTTGGGTGCGGGCCCAACGGGGTCCTCCGATCGCTGAACGCGAGGGGTAACAGCGCCTTGCGCGCCCAGGTTTGGCCACCCCACGTCCCCCGTTTAGCCGCGCACCAAAGGTCACTCTTGCCTAGGGTCACTCCTGCGTGTAGCCGATATCCCTAGACATCCGTTGCTGAGATTTTTCAATTTGCCCCGAGATCCCAACCCCAACCCCAGGGCTAGTTTTTAGTCCCCTGGACCAGGATATATTTTGGATGGTCCTGGGGCACGAAAGCAGGTCCCGCGAAGCGGAGGAACCACTACGAAGAACGGCCAGATTGCAGAAATCATATCGTCGGAGAGTTGGATCGGTATCTTTTCCTCGACTCCATGAGGTTTCGGCCACGCGCAGAGGGGGCAAGGCGGAGGGGGGAAGCCTTCTTAGAAGCACCGCTGCTTCGAAGAAGCCTTCCCCCCGCCCCCTGCCCCCCCCCTCTGCGCGCCGCCCAAGGTTCGGCAAGTGCAGCCACTGCCGGGCCGCGGAGCCCGCCAGGTCTCGTGGGCGAAACGGCAATTCCGTATCCGCGGCCTTGCGGGCCGGGTCCTTTGGCCGCGACCCCGCGGGTGCGGGGCGTTTTCTCGCGGATGCCCCGCGCGGAACGTACCGGTGCGGCCACGTATCCGCGGCATCGCGCCCCCAGAAACCAAACGCCCGACGCCTTTTTTTTGATAACGTCGACTTGCCGAGGTCTCGACACATTCATTCCTCGGGACTGGTTTTTCGTCCCAAATCGTTGTTTGACGGTCCCCAGGCCCAGGTAAGGGCCCCCAGAGGCTGAAAATGGTGAAAAATTGCACGAGATTTTTTCATGACTCGAGGGAGTCTGGGAATCCAGACCGCCAGGGCGTCGATATGGAGATCCGTTCCCAAACATGCGATGGATTCATTTTTCAATGCAGGGTCCCCAGGGGACCATCTGTCTCGTCCCCATAGTCTTTCGACGGTCCCGGCGGCCTGGCGAGGGCCCCGCGGAGGCCAAAAACGATGAAAATCCCCGTCTCGAGCTGTTAAGGATGCCGGTTGTATTGGGTCGCGGGCGTTACCGCGAATGAGAAAGAAGAGGCGCCAGTGGAGAGTCCTCGTTGGGTCCCTGGAGGGCAAGGGGCGAACAATAATGACGAAACTCAGACCCCCGACGTCCTGATTTTTTCATGACGTCGACCCCCGAGGTCTCGACCCATGCCCTGGAGCCGGTCTTCATTCTGACGCGTTTTTTGAAGGTCCCGACGCCCGGGAAGGGCCCCCGAGGCCAAAAATAACGAAAATTCTTCCGTCATGATTTCTTCATGACTCGAGGGGGTCTGGGGAGGGGGGTCGCACCCGACGCGCTGGCGCCCTCTGAGCAGGGGCGCTGTGCCAAGGTCAAGGGCTTTGGGCACCAGACCCAGCCATGCGGCGTCTCGAAAACAGCAGAGGGAAGATCTTCATCGCCTTCGGCCTCTCCGGGCCCTCGCTGGGCCTCGGGACCGCCCAAAGAACGGCCTGGGGCGAAGAGCCGGTCCCGGAGAAGTGGTCGAGAGGTCGGGGGTCGAGCGGGATACGAGCGGGTTGCGTTCGCCGTTCGTGGAGGCCCCGCGCCCCGGGCGTCGCGCGGCTCGCCGCCCCCGGCCCAGCGGGGGCGGCGCGCAGCGGCCGCGGGCGGGCGATGTCGCCGGCCGCGGGCGCGGGCGGGGCCTCGCCTCGCTGCGGGAGCTGGGGCCTCGGGGATCGGGGGTGAGGTCCTCTTCCTCTTCCTGCGGGTCCTCGTCCTCCTCGTGTTCCCCTCCCCCCTCCTCCTCCTCCTCCTCCTCCTCCTCCTCCTCCTCCTCCTCCGCCTCCTCCTCCTCCTCCTCCTCCTCCTCCTCCTCCTCCTCCTCCTCCTCCTCCTCCTCCTCTCCTCTCTCTCGAGTTTAAGGCATTTGGTTGAAGCAGCCTATCCCAAAAAGGCGACGAGGGCCCAGGGAACCCAGAGACCCCAGACGCAGAAAAAAGGAGCTGCGCCCAGCAGGCAACGAGGGGATTCGAGCCGAGTCCAGCAACGTCCACGCCGCCGCGGCCACTCACAGCATGCCGACCCACGCCGCCTCCAGGGCACTCTGCCCGCACCGGTCACGCATCCACTGGGTTCTAGCAGATCATCTCCGCTAGTCCTTGCTCTCCTCCTCAGGCGGAGGGGGCTCCAGCGTCGCGAACACCGCGTCGAAGGCTGCTTTGTTCGAGCAGAGGCTTGCCATGTAGGGCTCTGCTGCGATGCCTTCTGCCTCCAGGAGCGCCAGCAACTTTTCCAAGACGTACCCGACAACCCTGAGATCGTATTGGAACGAGAGAGCGTGATCCACCGCTGCTTTACTGTGGAAAATTGCCGCCCTTTTCCTCCGGAACCCGGGGTTCCCCCCCCCATCCGAAAATCCCCCCCCCCCCTGCTGGAACCCCCCCCCCCCCCCCTCTTCCCCGTCAAAACACCCCCCCTCCCCTTCCCCCCCCCCCCCCCCCCCCCCCCTCGAGCTCGAAAACCGGGGGGGGTCACTACCGGTTCGAACCCCCCCCCCCTCGAAAACCGGAGGGGGGGGTCACTACCGGTTCGAACCACTGAGCTGTCCCACTGTTCCCACCACTGTCCCCACTGTCCCTACCACTGTCCCCACTGTACCTCTTTCCCATTGTCCCACCGCCGTCCTCGCCACCGCCTTCACCACTGTCCCCACCACCACTGTACCCTCCACTGTCCTACTGTTTCCACCACATTCCCACTGTCCCCACACCACTGTCCCCACCACCACCGTCCCCACCACTGTCCCACTGTCCCCACTGTTCCCACCATTGTCCTCACCATTGTCCCCACCACTACCGTCCCCACCACTGTCCCACTGTCCCCACCACTGTCCCGCTGTCCCCTCACCACTGTCCCCACCACCACCGTCCCCACCACTGTCCGCACCCCCCCTCGGTTTTCGAGGGGGGGGGGGGGGGGGGGTTCGAACCGGTAGTGACCCCCCCCCCTTTTCATGATGAACTGGGGGGGGGGGGGGAGGGGTTCGAACCGGTAGTGACCCCCCCGGTTTTCCGGAGGGGGGGGGGGAGGGGTTCGAACCGGTAGTGACCCCCCCCGGTTCTCCGCTAGCAGCCGTAGAACACGCTCTTTCATTGGAACGAATCGGCTGCTGCAAAAAAGGTGGATGTGATGCGGGCCTGGGCCGCCCCATCAAGGGGCTGATGTTCGGACGCATTCTCATCTGTAGTTTCACTGAGCTCAACTCCAGCAGTGTCCGTATTGAGGAGTCTGTCGGCCCACTCCGGCTCACTCAACCGGTGTCGAGTGAACGGTATCAGTTCGTCGTGCACCTCCGCGCCATCTTCTCCAGACCAGGAGTCAGGCGGTGGAGCTGCCTGCCCCTCGCCGGGCTCCCACGCCCTGAGCTCAGCGTTGGAGCTGATGATGTCGGCATCTGGTTTCTTCAGACGCACCCTGATCGCAGCGCTGGAGCTGATGACATCGTCGGGCTGTGTCTGCGCCACTCGCTTCTCGCAGGGTGGCGGCTGAACCGCCTGCCGCTCACCGTTCTCACTCGCCCTGATCCCAGCGAGGGAGCTGATGACATCGGCGTCTGGTTTCGCCCCGCTTGCCCTGATCCCAGCGCTGGGGCTGATGACATCGGGCTGTATCTTCGCCTCCCGCTTCTCGCAGGGGGGCGACTGAGCCGTTTGCCACTTGCCGTTCTCGCATGCCCTGATCCCGGCTTTGGAGCTGATGACGTCGGACCCTGGTTTCTCCGCGCACGCCCTGATAACAGCGCTGGAGATGATGACATCGGGCTGTGTCTTCGCCTGTCGCTTCTCGCAAGGTGGCATCCAGGCAGTCTGCCGCCCGCCATTCGCACACGCCCTGATCCCAGCGATTGAGCTGATGACGTCGGCCTCTGGTTTCTTCAGGCACGCATTGATCCCAACGCTGGGGCTGATGACATCGGGCTGTATCTTCGCATCCCGCTTCTCGCCGAACGGCGTCTGAGCCGCCTGCCGCACGTCGTCCTCAAACGCCCTGATCCCGGCGCTGGAGCTGATAATGTCGGCTTCTGATTTCTCCGCACTCGCCCTGATCCCAGCGCTGGGGCTGATGGTATCGGGCTGTATCTTCGCCTCCCGCTTCTCGCATAGTGGCAGCTGAGCCGCCTGCCGCTCATCGTTCTCACACTCCCTGATCCCTGCATTGGAGCTGATGACGTCGGCCTCCTCCGCGACAGCGCCAGTGAAGAACACCGTGGTCCCGCAGGTGCAGACGAGGCCAGTGCAGCGCGGGTACGCGAACGGCTCGAATGGCTCCCAGTAGCCCGCCGACGGGACGAACTCGGCTGCTTCGGCGCGCAACGGGGTCGCATCCGCCTCGATTATCTTCGTCCGAACGTCCAGCTGGCGCCCCTGCATCCTTTCCAACCGATTGAGTGCCCTGAACGAGAGGTCCATGAGCTGGTCCATGGGGACGTTGAAGACATGCAACGCTACGTTGCGCAGCATCTGCTCCCTATGAGAGTGGGCAGGTGTGGCACCGCGCCTGGTAGCCTCGACCTCCTCGACGAGAAACGGTAGAATGGCATCCAGGCGCCCTCGAACTTCAGCGTCGTCTGCCAGACTGCAGCGCTCCTCCAGAACGGTCTTCTCTATCATGAGTTTCCTGACCAAGTTGTCGGCCGACAATGCGGCCCGCGCACGTCGTTGCCGTCGAGCTGCAGCCGCGCCACTGACATCTTCACGCCACACACACGGGGCGGATCCCGCAGCCTGTCTGCTCCCAGTTTCTGGCGCCATGAGCTAACACATAGAGCCAAGATGTTGGGGCGCAGCGGCATGAGCCAAAATGGCTACGGACCTCCTCCTCCTCCTCCTCCTCCTCCTTCTCCTCCTCCTCCTCCTCCTCCTCCTCCTCCACCCCTCGATTGATGTGCACCTGCCAGGCCTCGGGCCGTCAAAAGCAAATCGGGATGAAAGGCCAGTCCTGGGGAAGTGGTGGAGATGTCGGGGGGTCTTGTCTTGGAAAAACGAGGCTGGTGGCGGGGGGGATCTCAAGCAGTGGCGAAGCTGCTGGGCCTGCCCATATGCCCACTGTGGGTTGCGCAGGATATTCCCAAAGCATCTCTGCAACAACTGAGGCCGTCCTGGCTCAAGATCTAAGACACTTGTATTTGTTGTTCGAACGATCTTGTGTTCTAAGAGCATTCCGTGGTAGGCCTACAGGGGGCGGTCGGTCCTTGCTCAAGCATCGGGGGGCAGGAGCCCCCAGACCTCAAAAGCACGGGTCTTGTATCTCTTGGTGATAGCGGGCGTGACGGATCACGGCGGTTTTGGTAACTATCTTTTTGTGCGTTTTGTTTAAATTATCTGGCGATATCGGGCGGTTTGGGGGGAGGCGATGGGGGGGGGGAGGGTAATGGTAAACGGATCTCGATGTAACGATATGGTTGTCTTGCGTTGTCTCGGATCACGTCTTATCGTTTCATTTATTTTGTAGAGTTTTCTTGTGCGCCTTCCTTTTTCTTCATTTTGATCTCTCACTATTTTTTCTGTCGTTCCTTACATACCGCGTGCTTGTGCAGCGCCGATCTTAGGATCCGAGCCCAGCCAGAATTTATCAGACCCTAGAACATCACGAGGCACCTTCGACAATCAAATACAGCATAATAAGCAGCCAGCATATGTGGAAACAGTGCATTCTCACAGGAATCGCTGGTTCCCAATTTTAGAAACCAGCGGTTTCGTTGTAAAGACACATGGTCTTATTGTGGGCGTTATTGGTTTTGAAGATAAGCCAAGTATAATGTTGTGTTGCCTCTGTACAGGCACAGGGACCACCTGGTCCGAAGATGATTCCGTGTTTGGAAATAGAAAGCAGCTAGCAGTCAGCGGAAATCATCCGTTCTAATGCAAAACAAGTGGTGTCTTACGCCAGGAACCAGTGAGAGCTGTGAAACCATAGTGCTTCAGACATTGTACGGTTCTGGTGTATGATTAATGTTTTCTGGGGTTTGGGAAATTTGGTCATCTGAATCCCCCGACAAATAATTCCAAGCAGCAGGCAAAACATGGCCACCCGATACTGCGTAACAAGCTGTCGTAACAGTCCGTGGAAACATAATGTTAGGACAGGTTTCCTTGGTTCCTGGCTTAAGGCGCCATTGGTTTATATGCGGTTTTGCTGTAAACTTTGTTTTTTGATTTTTATTTGTATTGAACCAAGGAAGAGTTCATAAGTTTCAGTGGTATTTGCGCAGGCCTGGGGGCAGCTGATCCGAATTGTCAAACGAATGCCAGGAAGACGCAGTACACATCAAAGGAAGCCATGTGTCTTCACATCAACACCGATGAATTCTTAGTCGGGGGACCAGCGAAACCTGTGAAAGCAAAGTGCTTCATCAATTATGATGATTGGTGTGTAATGTTTGTCTGTACCATGGTTTTCTGGGGTCTTTTGAACAACTGAGCTCCCAGATCACAAACTCCAGACCTGAGGACAGAAGAAAACATAATAAGATCAATACAACGCATAGAAAACAATCGTGCCGTGGAGGAAGCATTGTGTTTTCACTGTTGTCATTGGTTTCAGCTTAAGAAGCCGATGGCTGTGCTGTACAGATATATGATTTCTTTTGGTTTTATGTTTTCGGATCCGCAAGTAGCACTCATAAGCTTCAGCTGACCCTGTGCAGGCACATACAGCA